GGATCCACCACTGTTAAGGTTTCATCTTCATAGATTATATAGTCTGTATTCAAGAGCGAAATCTGCTTTAAGGATTAGCCTGACGTTGCTTAACCGAGAGAGATTTAACGACTCTAGTATAGTTTTGGGAGGATGATATCGTAATCTGGAGTTCTATTTTTGGTGTAATTTTTTGTGATTTCTTCTTCACACTAAGACGATTAATCTAATGTGGGAATGATAGAGATTCGAAATGGCTGGGATTTTCTAGGTGAACATACGTGTACAGCACTACGCGCTGTTCGAGAGCATACCTTCTGAATAAACTATTGTCACGCTGAGCACCGAGATTGTGTTTAGTCACTCCATATAGGGACTGTGTTTTGATATGCTAGTAAAAACGGTAATTGTTGGTCGTTGCAATCCGATAACCTTCGCTTGTGTGCAAAAGAAGCGATTGCAATTAACAGCGCTCGCATGCGAGTAAATTTCACGCAATTATGACGCCAGTTGTCTGAGATGCACGTTGAAGCATACCCCTTGAGTATCAGTCTAAAGGTTGCTACCAATTTTTGTGTGTTTATATTTCCATGCAGACACACAGTGAGTGGGAATGTTATGGGAACTAACAAATATCGTGCCTGACTCCGTATAAAATAAACCTATTTCATCGAAGGGCAGTAGAGATAATAAGATAATGTTGTTTGAATTATTTTAAAACATTGGCGATAAAAACTGAACTTAACTTCGAACAGACTTTGAAATTACCATACTGAACCAGAATTTGTGTGAAGCATCTCTCAATCAGTCAAATCTGTACTGGTTGTCTTGGTGTTGCCATAGCCACAGTCCCCATAGCTTTGCATCGATTGACGCACTTTATTCTGCTGTCAAATTGTATGTATTTTCAGTTTTGAATACGTGTAAAATTGTAACAGAATGGTGTCGGTCATGCAGTTCAGTGTTGAAAATGTATGTTTTCTCGTAGACTCAACAAAAGTTTATACTTATTAGGATGTTTATTTCCGCAGCGTGCCGTTAATTAAATACTTTTTTAATTATTATTACTACCTTATACTATAATATGTTTGGATATTTAGAGTAGTAACAAATTCCCACTTCCGGTCCGGTTAGACTTAAAATACACACCTAATATTTACTTTTTGGTATGTGTTGGTTCCTGGATATTTAAACTTTGTCGTCCTGTACTTTGTTTAGTAATTCGAACTTCCCAGATTGCGTAAAAACGCTTAGGTATGTATTCAAAAGTCAACAATGGTATATTCCCCTTGTCACTGTCGTATTCTGTGTCTTGTCGATGACATTTTGGTTAAAATCATGATTCACGTAGCTATCGAGGAGAAAATTAGAAAAATCGTTCAACTAAACCGGAAATCAAATTAGCATAACCAACGCTTTTGGCCTTCGTCGCCATATTGACAACTACAACATTTAAACCTTAGTTGGGGAAATTCACCGGCATTAAATTGCGTTCACCATGCTAGACAATCAAAAAATGTATTTGCACTAAAGTATGTTCAAGAAAATAAAAAAAAAAAAAAAAAAAAAAAGTATGTTCAAGATCTGTACTTTCTCATAACATAAACACGGGTTTTACCCTGCTTACTCGCCGCGGTAAGTAGTCTCTCGTCCAAATAATTCACTTCCCAAATATTGGTTCCCTGGCGCCTCTAAAATAAATAAGTTATATTACCGCTGGGCTGAATCAATGATATATCACCCAAACAATGGTGATTGAGCGATACCCCCCCCCCCCCGGTAATCGTTTTCGGTACCTTCCATGTTTGGATGAACGATTACTTTTGTTTCAAGTTCGTTGTATGCCTAGAAATATGGATATTTTGGTGAATATATAGAACATGTTCTATTCAAATAAAGGATTTTGATATGCCAATCGAACAACTCCGTACTGGAACGTCTCCAGTATAAAAAGTGCTTTACTCTCCGAAATTTGGCAATGGCACTGGCCCAAAATGGATTTTCTTTTTCAACGCGTAATCAGTGTTGAGGGACTGTGATGTAATCGATAATGTTGATGTCGCCGTGCGTAAAAACACACTCTCGAACTTGACAACATTCAGTCTCAGGCAACTAAATAAATTGATGAAAATATGAGTTCAATCATGAAGACTGATGATTCGATTGATAGCCTAATGGCCGGAATAGCTGTATTGTTCATTTCTATGCAATTGTGATTCTCAATTTCTAAGTGTAAATAAAATATCGCTGGTATTGACAGCGACGGCTGAGAGACTATTTTGATTCTGTAAGCTTTCTTGACGCGGGCAACTGACTTTTATCTTTTTTTTTTTTTTTTTTTTTTTACTATTCTGACTTTTTCCCGGTCGAATTTTACACTGATAAGTAAGTATTAAGTAAGTAAACGATCCGGCGCATAGTCAACATGAGACTTTGAATAACAGGTAGGACCTGAAGGTAGCTTCAACATACAACATTAATGGGCAAGTGTCATTGAGTGACAATCCCTTTTTTAAATCTCATTTATTAGGATTTCCACATAAAGTAACACGTTATCATATCATAGGTTTTATAATGGATTCTGTAATTAAAATATCATGGGTATTTTTGTAAAGTGTACCTTTATGTATTACCGGTAAAATATGCACACTATTAAAATGATAAAAACCTCAAATTCAACCGTAGTACACATACAGAGTAAACACAATTATTACCAACATGATATGACATTATATATAATTGGTGGTGGGAATTACCAAGCCATTTTATAAAATAGTGAACAAATATTTTCGTAATCAACACTAATCATTGTCGCTGATGGAATATTTCATATTGCAATTTCTTAATTTTATTTTGTTGTATTGCGACACATTAGCGATCAAAAGTGTTAGGTTGTCTCCTCCAGCAATTTTACCGTAACGGCAAATTAAATACAATATGCAACGAAACCTTAGTTCTTTTGCTTAGTTGGATATAGCTTTTACTTACTTCTGTTATATCCCAGTTAACGTACACCAATTTTATAACTTACAAAATATTTGTAGCCTATTGCCAAATAATATGAGAGGGTGCACTAGAAACTAGCTAGGATATATTACATGATCACAGTTAACGTATATGCATTTTTACTACCTTATACTAAAATATGAAGTTACACAGATAGGGGAAATGTCTCATGGCATGGAAAAATAATGCTTTCTTTTGTCCAGGTTATATGATAAATATTTTGAGTGTGTATGTATTAAAATATGTAATCATAGTACACATGCAAAGTAAACAAAATGATGTGAATTTGCATTGGTGGTGGGGATTTCCATGCAAGTTTATAAAATTGTGAACAAATATTTTCGTAAATAACACTAATTCTCATTAGTGTGTATCATTTATGCATATAATTACATATCTCATATACTTTGTGTATCATTTTAATTATACATGGTATTCGCAGATTAACACCGGTTGTTAATAGCACATACAACATTAGATCTCAACTCCGATGAAAAAACAAGTTTCTGCCACTCACCGCGAAAGCCAATCATCGCGAAAGCCAATCATTGCGAAGTTACTAGTAATTATACAAAAAGAAATCGAACACACCTATAATTACCAAGGACAATAACACATTATTTGTAGGGAAAGTACCTGCGGAAAAGAATCTGCTTAATTGCAATTTTTTTTTGAGTAGGAAAAAACATTTTTATTACGTAACCTTGACAACTGTTTAGGACTTTTGCTTCAGATTTTCTAAAATCAGCGAGGTCTGGAAAGCTGTGTTTACATTATTGCCAGCTGAAGTTGTTCAACAAAATAATTTGTTTGTATGGCCGAACGCAACCTTTGTCCCGGAAGTTGTATATAAGAAGCAGTCGTCAAGCTTGGTGGGAAAACCTAAATCTTACTGATCAGCGACGTCTTACAGTCAATCCAAGTTGTGCCGTCTTCGTTACGATAGCAACAACATGTGTAACCAGCGAGTGTCGACTGATCAGAACATTGTCAGCGCACTCAACATAGTACAGACTTCTATGATGTCGTTCCTGCACGATGGGTTTCAGCTTTTTCTGGAGTTATTGACTGTTTTATGGAGAGTGTTCCTATCATGTACACTAGTGTTTTACCGATGGGTCATGCCGTTGGACCCGAAAATAATTCGCGGAGAAATCGTTTTGGTGACGGGCGCCGCTGGGCATTTAGGCAGAGCAATTGCCCTCGAGTTTGCTAAAAAAGGATGTGTTCTGGTGCTTTGGGACATCGACGAAGCTGGTAACGAAGCAACGGCCACCGACATCAGAGAATACGGAGGAGTTGTCTTCACGTATTTATGTGACTGCAGAAAACGGATCGAAATCTACAGAGTCGCTACGCAGGTAAAAAAGGAAGTCGGCGATGTGAGTATAATTGTAAACAATGCTGGGACTGTGGTAGGAAAGAGCTTTTTGGACACGGAGGACTGTTTAGTAGAAGACACTGTTAATGTCAATATGATGGCGCATTTTTGGGTAAGTAATAATGCTTTACTAGTATTTGTAGAAACTACAGCAGTATAAGGCCACACAATCTAATAAATCCATTACTATCAAAAAAAAAAAAGACAGGTGAGGTCCTGAGAAGCCGGGAAAAGAATGTGGAAATATAGTTCACTCAGGCCCCTATCTCTAACCTAAACCCTACTCTAAACCCTACTCCTAGCACTCCAGTCCCAAATGTAATTGTACATGCCCCTACAGACAATTATACATGTCCCGAAGAAGGGCATATACAATTAAAATGAGGGGGGGCACTCAAGGGGCAGGGTTAGAATGAGAGTTATGAGTGACGGGACCCGAGGGAACTATTGCTAAAAAGGTGTGGTGAGGCACTATTTTTTTTAAATTTAAATTTGCTCCAAATACAGCAGCCTGCGTGGTGTGTTTGCATCGTTCGTCCGACGTGGAATGTTTTTTTGCATAAACTGAGGCTCCAATCAGCTTGTTGAAGTAGAATATAAGAGATGAAAATACGCGCAACTGCAGTGGTGTTATTTTATATTTTCGGCCGCAGAAGTTTCAGCAACAATTTGCCACCCGGAAAGTTTCGGCCATGAAAATAAAGACTTTAACAATCAAATTTCGGATGAGCAAGAACCTAAACAGAAAATTGACAAATTCTTGCTAGAATCCAGCAAGAAAAAATTGTATGGGTAAAAATACATTCACAGAAATATTAACACAAAATTATTCAAATATACACATAAATACTTGATTGCAACGTATAAATTTGAAATGCTATTTAATTTCTAGACATGTTTACAATGCCATGTCTAAAGTACGATATATATATATATATTTAATTCTTGATTCGCAACTTTCAGTCTTCTGAATTCAAGCCTTATTTTAGTTTAATGTGGTCCATTTCATGTATGATAAAAAGGTTATTCGCCGCCAGCAAGAAAATAACACCTTTTATCACAGGTTTTTATTTGCGACCTGTAAGAATATCAAACATAAAAACATGTAGTATAACGTAGTATTTTTATTGTTAGCGGCGACCTCACAAGAATTGGCAATGATATTTGCTGTATTAGTAGTGCATATATTTGACAGTGCCGCGTCTATGGTCAAAATAGATCACATTTTAATGATCTGATGGATACGAATGCAATTTTGTGCTCACAGTAGAGAAAATTTTTTACACTTGAAATTTTGATCAGACAAAAGCTTTTCAGGTCTTGCTTAATGGTTGTTTATCGGTAATTGGAATGGACGAGTTGTTTGGACATTACATAACGCACCATAGTTACATACCATTGTTTATTATCTAACTTGGTTTTTTAGTAATTATTTCTTTAATTATTCTTGAATTTTCATTTAGGGCTTATATTTAATCACATTTAATTTTGAAACAAATCAAGAATCTTTGTCGATAAAATTAAAATTATTTTATTGTCACTTCTACTTTACACTAGTTTGATCTGCATATTACTGTAAATCTTTTAATTTTTAGTACGAGTAATTTTTTTGCGATTTAAAGATTTTAATGGCATTTGTGCAGACTAAATTATTCAAAACTCAGTAACTCTGAGAGCCCAGAAAATTTCGCTACAAAATTATGCAATTTTTCACTAAATTTGTGAAATTTTGTCTCTTGCGAGATTATAGCTGTTTACAGTAACCAAATCATTTATAATAATTGTATTGGTGTTGTTTTCCTGCACCTACTGTAAAATACTTTTCACTGTTTTCGCTGAAGAGATGATTTAGTAAAAAAAAAATCCAGTGAATACACCTTTTACATTCAACTTGTCAAAAATTAGTAAAAATAAATTTCATACAAAACACCCAAAAAGTCTTTTCAGCGAAAATTATTTCCAGTTAAAATAAAGTATTTTACAGTATTCTGTACATATAAATTTTCTGTATAATATTAATATAATTATAACGTATGCTTTTATTGTCCAATCAGTAACTATCTTCCATACTTTACAATCAGTGCAATTAAATACCTTCTCAAACGAGTATAGTGCTAAGCACAGTTAATCTCTTATTGTCATGGTGATTCTTTTACTCTATTGGCTGTACAAATAATGGGATGAATATCACTTTCTTTAATACATGTAATTAAATTTGGCTTTTCTATATTATATAAATGACTAGTAGCTTCACTATGAGTGGTGTATGTGTTGAGGGGCTTTTGCAGTGAATAACGCTTTGTTGTAGTAATTGGTCCTTTCAGAGTTGAGAATTAATGTTTATTGTGTCATTAACAACTGGTATTAATCTGCAAATACCATATATATATATATATATATATATA